CCCATGGTCCCCTCCTCTAGCCCCCCGACCCTTTACTTACCGGCACTGGAGCCCTGGTACTGCAGGATTCTGCCTGGCAGGCCGCGTGCTTCAGCACCTGGGCGAGGGGTCAACCACAGAGATGCTCTGGCAGTCAGAACGTCTCTGTGGAGGACCCAGCCTCCAGTTGCCTCAGGGTATGGTCCCTGCCTGTGCCCTGCCCCGCTTTTTTAAATTCCGTTTTTTTTAGACCCCTGGGTCTATAATTTTCTCTCCGCGCTGCAAACTTGCAGCATGGGTAACATTTTTTCGTTCCTGCATGTGCTTCTTGCCCCGTCTCAAAGGGGTTTGAGATGGGGCAAGAGGCACATGCGCGCTTGTCTAGACGTGCCCCATGTGTGCAGATATATGCTTAAATTTGTAAGTTAGTACAACAATTAGGAAGTTTTTACATCAAATAAGACATGGACATTACACTGCTTAGTTAATGATGCTCATAGTTTTGAACAAGAGCCCTATTGTACTGACCTTGTTTTATTTGTCATAGAAAACAGCCAATTTTATTAGAAACTTGGAAAACAATTCTCTTTGGTCAAACAGTAGGCAATGTGCATTTTAACTCTGGTTAGCAGTTCTAATTCATGATAGCTTTAAATTTTCTCTTAGCTTTACTATCTTTTTGAGTATGGCACTTCAAAAGGAGAAAGGATGTTTAGAGCCTCCACTACCATGTATCTGCTTTCACTAGCACTTGACATATGCAAGGATCTGGGAGCATTTTTATTCAAATTCAGTTTAATTATATACATTCATTGTTCATTCCAAGTAGAAATTAGAAAAAAAAAGATGTCTTAGCTTTTGGAGTACCTTCTTTTTCCTTTTTCTTTAAATACCTCTTTTATAAAATATGGTTTCTCCTTTTAGTACCTCACAAGGATGTTTTGTGGTTTCAGATGCTTTTTTTCTGTCTCTGGAAATATAAAAACATGCACATCAGCACTCATGAGTCTTGTTGCTGCTGCTCTCATGTACTTAAAATAAAAATATACTTAAATTGAAACAGTAGTGAATGCAAGGAAAGTTAATTCTAAAAGGCTACCAGTGTTCCTATGTTGCTTGCATATATTATACACCACATACCTTATATCAGACTGTTCATTCTCCTTCAGGAATTCTATAGAGTTGTACTCTGCAAAGCCCCAAAGAAGAAAAGTTTTTTACCGAATGGTTTGTTCCTGTGAAGGACCACTCATGATTAAAGATTAAAGATAAAATATGTAGGACCATTCATGGGTTTAAACATGTTGCTGACTTGAGAAGCCTAAATGTATGTTCCCTCAGTAATGCTGTGAGCCATCCTGAAAGCAGTGAGCATTTATTCCACAGTTCATGTTGTTTTCTAAATTCCAATAGCCTGTGCTGAGGTAGAGAAGGAGCTGTGCCTCAAGTTGCTTTCACCACTTCTCTCATCACTGAGGGAGTGGGGGTTTCTTGATGTCAAAAGAAACCATGAAGTATATTTTAGTCATACTAGGCACATCTACATGCCCTCTTTACTGCCCATTACTCTAATTTAATGTGCAGTTAAGCATCACCATGTGCATTGCAGTTAGTGCGCAGTAGATTAATTTACTCTGGTGTAGGATAATCCCATCAAACACAGGTACTATCCTATGCTGCAGTAAATTAATGCGCTTAAATGCACATGTAGATGGTGATATCAGGATTAGTTTACTCGAGCTCAAATTGAGCTGAAATATATTCATTTGCATTATTTGCATGTGTAGATGTTCCCACTGGCAGCTTCTCTTTTACAATTCCTGACTCTGGCGCATAGGCGGTGCTGGGGCTGCTGAGGCTGGTGGGGCACAGTGACTGCCCGCAGATGGCAATGCAGGCATTGGTGGCGAGGGCGGGCCGAGCCAAGCGGGGACTGTCTGCAGGCGGTGGTGGTGGCAGAGGCGAGTAGGGGGTCCCCCTGCTGTGGTGGGAGAAACCTCCCTAAGGTTCGTTGTCTAGCTGTAATTTGTTTGACAGACAACGCGGGTAAAGAAAGACAGCTGTTTATTTGCTCGAGCAAAGACCATAAAGCCAGCAAAAGGCAAAATGGCCCCCCCCTCAGGGTGAGGTGATCTTTTATACTTATTACAACAAGGCAAGACTTCATGGTTAACAAAAAAAAGCAATACTTGGGCGGTGCTTTTCAAATCTTTGTAACAGCATATTTCTATTAAGCTGAATTAGCACTTTTTAAAGCTAAAAGTTAAGTAACAGTAACATTATAATATGTTAGCAAAACCTTACACAGTAGTAGATACTTCTCAAGGACACA